GAGCCTTCGGCTCAGGTCATGATCTCAGGGTCCTGGGATCCAGCCCCGCATCGGGCTCTCTGCTCAGCAGGGAGCCTGCTTCCTCCTCTCTCTCTGCCTGCCTCTCTGCCTGCTTGTGATCTCTCTCTGTCAAATAAATAAATAAAATCTTTAAAAAATAAATAAAATAAAATCAGGCCCAGGGATACCCGGAGATCTGAAGCCTGGACTCTCAGTAGGAACCTTTCCAAATTCATGTGCAGAAAAAGCATTCACCTCATGAGCTCAGTCAGGAGGTAAAGGAAACCACCCGCGTGTTGGGTCAGGAAGCCACCTTTCACGTCAAGGTCCATCAAATGCAGCACCCAAAGCTGTGTGGTTTAGGGTGTAGGAGCTGCTAATACAGCTCATAAATACAGAAACTCTGGTGGGGGAGGAAAGAAGGTGTCTGTACCATGTGAGGCAGGCATTCACTCAACCACGAACGCATTCCTTACTGAGTACCACCAAGTACCAGATACTGTGCTCAACACAGAAAATAGAGCAGTGATCAAACAGAGGTCTCTATTCTTCAGGTGGTTAATTCTGAGGGAGGCTGTGAAATTGAAAGATAATAGTATAGATTTGGTCTTCCTCCCAGGTTCCTCCGAAAGAGCTCCTAAAATCCCTGGAATCTTCAAAGAGATAAGTGGGTTTTTGTATGCTAATGAGATGACTGGTGGCTGGAGGCACCTGGATAGCCTCAGGGCTGGTTGCCTGGAGAATCAACAAAATGGTTAGAGGGTTGGAACTTCAGCCCTATTTTTCCCAAATCCCCTACCTCCTACCCCCAACATCCAGGGATGGGAGAGAGGCTGGAGATAAAATTCTGTCACCAATGTACGGTAATTAATCAATCATGCCTACATAATGATGCCTCCATAAAAAGATCCCAGACAGAGGGGTTCAGAGGGCTTCCAGATTGGTGAGCACATGGAGGTTCTGGGGAGTGGGACACCTAGAGTGAGCACAGGCACTCCACACACACCCCTACATACTTTGCCCTGTCCATTTCTTCCATTTGACTATTCCTGAGATGTTTCCTTTTGTAATAAACCAGTAATGTAGTAAGTAAACTGTTTTTCCTTAGTTCTGTGAGCCATTCTAGCAAACTCTTGATCCCCAGGAGGGAGTTATGGAAGCCTTAGACTATACCTCATAAACCTTGGTCAGAAGTATGGCTGGCCCAGGCTTGTAATTGGCCTCTGAAGTGGGAGCAGTCTTTTGGGACTGAGCCCTTCACTTGTGGGATCTGACACTAAGTAAATAGTGTCAAATCTTCATTGACTTGTAGGACACCTAGCTGGTGTTGGAGAATTGGTTGGTGTAAGGGGGAAAGCCACACATTTAGTGTCAAATGTGTTCATTTTGAGTAGAAAAGAACAGAGAAGTTTTCCTGTAGTTGGTGCATTAGAGAGAGAAAAGAGTTTCCATTTTAGAAGCCAAGAATCAAATTATCTCCAAATACCACCACAGCAACAATGACTTGTATAAACAAAAAGATGCATGGTATAAGGATAACCTGTAATGGGGGCTGTTGCCAGGATCAGGGAAGGCTTCTCCCACACAATGATGATTGAGCTGAAGTCTACCAGTAAGTAGGAACTCCTTACAGGAAAGGAGAGCTTGATCCGAGGGCAGAGTCCATACAAAGACTCTGGACACAGTGAGACCTGCAAGGAAGAAAGTCAGTGTGTCTGGGCCAGAGGACTTGTGCTTCTAAAATTTCAGTGACTGCAGTGGGAGAAACCCATTACAGAGGGTCAAGCAAACTACTTAGATGCAAGCAAACTCCTTAGTAGATGTTGGGAAGGAAGAATTTCCTCTGCTCTTCAAGATCCTTCTAGCTAGACAAAGAATCACATTGTCACAGACAGAGTGATAGGAGAAAATCAGATTTAGTTTTGTACAAATTAAATCCACATATACACGGAAATTCCAAAGACGGGCAAAATGGGGAATATATGTCGTCCTGATATAAAGAGAAGGGGATAGGGTCTGGGACTTCAAAGGGAAGGAAGTCAATTCACAGGAAGAGGAAACAGAATAAATGGTAAAAACAAATGTCTACGGGGCTGCACAGAAACAATGGGACTTGGAGAGGAATTTTAACAGAATTGGCTAAATTCCTCCCTGTCTGCCACCCTTAGTTCCTCTTATACTGTAGTTATCTATAGTGATGTTTATCTTCTTGAAGCTGGTCCTCTGTCTAAATTCTTGGGACTGGGGGTTGTCAAAGCTTCTTCCCTAAGTCTTTTGAGCCTTGACTGTTTTCAGCTCAGCATAATCTGAATGCCAAAGTGGTTGCCTGAGATGGCCTGACAACAGAAATTTCAGAATAAGGATTCCATTTCCTTCCTCCTCTATCAAAAGCAGAAAGAAAACACACACACTGGTACAGATCCCAAATGATTATGAAATCTGATAGTCCTTGGATCTTAAGAAAAAAGTTTCTTAACTCTCATCCATTAGTTATTCATTGATTCAAAAAATATTGAAGTATCTGCCATAAGCTAAGCACTCTATTGCCATCAAATTTTTGTTGTGAACTAAACAGATACAGCTCTTGGAGCTAAACATCTTGTGTGGGAGACAGAAAGTGAGCAAAAAAAAAAAAAAATCCAACAAATAAATACGTATGTACAAATTGTGATAATTTTGACAAAATTGAGCTGGGTACAATGATTATGAATAAGAGGAAAGATTTGGATAAATAAAGTGATCAAAAGGCTGCTCCAAGAAGATGAAATTTAAGTTCAATCTGGGCTCTCTTAGCCCATTTACTTCAAAGTTAACAGAAAATGAATACGTATATTCACAAAACTTAATCATCTCACAAACCTTTTTTTTTTTAAGATTGTATTTATTTATTTGACAGACAGAGATCACAAGTAGGCAGAGAGGGAGGCAGAGAGAGAACAGGGGAAACAGGCTCCCTGCTGAGTGGAGAGCCCAATGTGGACCCTGGGATCATGACCTGAGCTGAAGGCAGAGGCTTAACCAACTGAGCCACCCAGGCGCCCCACAAACATGCAACTTTTCTTAAATGGATAAATGAATAAGTCCTCTTTTCTGTCTGAACACTCTAAAAGGTGATTAAATAAAACATAATCAGGTTATTTTAAACAGAAGATACGTAGCAGTTTCTTGGCAATTTTGAACTGTATGTAAATGAAATAGGTTTTATGTATTAACAGGGACTGATTTCTCTCTCGCCAGGAGATGGTGGCAGGTGACGCTTCAGGGACAGAATTCTTTATCTCTGTGTATCACAGGGTGACACCTTCCCACAGTCCTCTTGGCTTCTCCCCTTGTCAGAGTCAATCTACTCAATCTGCAAAGCTCCCAGGATCAAAATGAGAAGAAATTCCTTCTTCCAGGAGCAGAGTAGGAAGGAGGCTGAATGAAACAATGACCACAGGTTAGCCACTGGGGTAAAAGGAAGGGAAGACAAGAGACAGAAGACAGGCAGGCAGGGGAAGAGATTCCAAGAGGACTCAGGGGACTGGAGGCCCTTAAGGAAGCTGAGTCTGGGGGACAGAGATGAACTGCCCTCTGGGCCCCATGGAGAGGCAGGGAGAACATCAGTGTCCACAGCCAACTACCACGTTTCCTCGTGCCCCATTACACCCAGCACTGGCTGCTCCCCGAATCACTGTTGGATTCACATTTTCCAGGCCTATTCCATGCTGTGTATTGGAGATATAGAGAGGATGAAAATGAGCTTTGGTCTCATTCAAAGGAGAAGACAGACACAGGTGAAGTCCCTAATACAACGTGCTCAGTTCCCAGCCAAATCATTTAGTAGGGTTAGCTGCACCTTGTGGCTATTCCCGAGGAGCGCCCATCCATCCAGACCTCTTTTTCTCTACCCTCAATTCCTAGAATAACACAAGGCACCTTAAAAATGCTCTGGGGGTGCCTGACTGGCTCAGTTGGTGGAACATGCAACTCTCGATCTCAAGGTTAGGGGTCCAAGCACCACACTGGGCATAGAGTTGACTTACACATAAAATCTTTTTGAAAAATGCTCTGGGTGGCTCAGTCAGTTAAGTATCTGCCTTTGGATCGGGGCATGATCTCAGGGTCCTGGGATCGAGTCCCGCATTGGGCTCCCTGCTCAGTGAGGAGTCTGCTTCTCCCTCTCCTTCTCTCCCCTACCCCGTGTTCTCATTCTCTCTCTCTTTGACAAACAAAATCTTTTAAAAAACGCTCTGTAAGGGGCGCCTGGGTGGTTCAGTCAGTTAAGCATCTGACTTTTGGTTTTGGCTCAGGTCATGATCTCAGGGTCAGGGAATCAAACCCCACATTGGGGTCCACACTGATCGTGGAGCTTGCTTTAGATTTTCTCTCCCTCTCTCTCTGATCCTCCCACCCCAACTTGCACACAGACACATGCTCTCTCTCTCTCTCTCTCAAAAAAAAAAAATGCTCTGTAAGGTTATAAAATGCTCCTTCAAGGAATAAGTCATGAGAGTGAAAAGTACAGCATAGGAAATACAGTCAATGATACTGTAATAACTTTGCGTGGGACACATCTTGGTGAGCATTTCATGATGATATAAATGTTGACTCACGGTGTTACACACCTGGAACTAATATTATACATTAACTATATCTCAATTAAAATAACAATAATAATAATAATAAATGCCCTGTAATCCTGAGTTGCTTAAATGAATGTAGAGGGGATAATATTTTTATACCTTGATGATGGGCAGACACCACAAGGTTTAAAGCAGAAAAGTAACCCGAGCATCTCTGTTTCAGAACTCATCCCTGAGCAGCGTGACCAGCAGGGGATCCAGAGGGGAGAGACTGGAGTAACTGGGAGCGTAAGCACAGGCAGGCAGCAGTGGGAAACGGGGGTTCTTAATGACGTCCAGCTTTCTGTCCCGGGGCAACAGAAAGGCCTGGACAGGACCCTAAAGGACTGTGATACAAAGAGAAGACCCCCCAGGAGCCAGCGGCCCAGGGCCCCGAGGAGAGCGGGCTGAGGAGAACGCGAGTGAGGAGTGACCCCTGGACTTAGCAATGAAGAGGCCGCTGAGGGCAGGCCAGCCACAAAGGTGGAGGAGCAAGTGGTTGGTAAGGAACCAGAGACGGGAGCGGAGAGATGCTCAGGAGGCGGCCGAGAACAGGCAAGGGACACCATGAGTTTGTGTCACTATGTCACTGCCCTTGACGCAGGAGGGGCACAGCCTGGGATTTCCATCTCACAGCAGCTCCAGGCTTCACTGAGGACATGGCAGGGACGCCTGGGATACCTCCTCAGTGGGCTGGGCAGGACTGCGTGGGATGGGGGAAGCTCTTTCCTTCGGGGAGTCCCAAGAGTGAGGTGAGTGCCCAGTCATGGAGGCTGGGGCTGGACATCCTGGGAGGGTGGCCCCAGAGCCCGCATTTCCTGCCACCCCAGAGATGCTCCCTGCTTTCCTTCCACCAGGAGGACTGGCAGGTGGAGGTGCTGAGCACCTGGCCCCACAGGGAGGAGGGCTCACCCCAGGGAGGGGTTACCTGAGCAGAGTGGCCCTGCGGGGATGAAGCTGGATCTCTGGCTCACCGGGTTGCTGGCAGTGCAGTGATAGCTGTCACTGGCCCCCGGTCTCCAGGAGACGTGGAGAGTGGTTCCTCCGTGGGACATAACTGCCCCCTGGCCGAGGGGTGCCCATCTGTACTGAACGTCCTCTCCAGACCGTTGCAGGGAGCAGATCAGAGTGAAGTAGCAGGCCCCATCCTTCATGATCTGGGAGCTGACAGTGATATTGGGCTCCTGTAGCTTCTCTGTGCAAGGAAGGAAAGTTCCAGCTCGGAGCAGACTCTGGTCTGGCCAAGCAGGGGAGAGAGGAAAGGTCAAAGTTCAAACGTGAGCCCTCCACACCCCTCACCATAGACATGCAGGGTGAAATCCCTGGTGATGTTGATCGGGGGACTCTGCAGGGTGATCAAGGCTCTGTAGAGGCCGGAGTCCTGCAGCGTCAGGGGCCCGATCTGAAGAGAGTAGCTGTCGCGGAGGGCATGCCACCGTCTGCTGCTCAGTCCCTGAGTCCCGGCAGCCAGGACGGGCTGGCCTCCTGGTCCTCGTTGCATAACGGCAGCAAGCCCTCCAGAGCTCCAGGTGACCCTTTCCACTTCCTGCCCAGCCAGGAACTCCAGGGGCAAAATGGCCAAGTCCCCGAGGAGACCGGTCACTGTCTCCCCCACGGTCACCCCTGCCAGGATTTCGGGCCCTGCAGACAGACGGAAAACCACAGCTTCAATGCCAGGTTCTCCCCTATGCGCTCAGGGCCACCCAGGCCTGGTGGGGCTCCTCCTGCCCAAACCCCTCCAGCGTCCACACGGGCTCCGGTGGGCCTTCCCCACCCTCCCCTGACCACACTGGCCCAACGCACCCAGCCCACTCCCTCAACAGTGTTCTCCCCGGGGCCTGAAGTGGACCCTGCGCCCCACCTCTGTCCACTTTAGAGCCCCAGGGCACAGAGTGTGCTCAGGTCCCAGGTACCTGGACATGAGGACGGCACTGAGACGGGGAGGGAGCTGCTGTTACTGACTGGGTTCTTGACCATACAGGTGAAGGTCAGAGACCTGTCCCCGGGCCCTGAGGAAACACTGAGGACAGACCCTCCATGGGACACAACCGTCCGGGGTCCCAGAGGTAGCCAGCTGTAGGTCACAGAGCCTCTTCTGCTGTCGGCCACACACGTCAGGATGAAGATACAGTGTCCATTCTCGCCGACCCTGGAGCTCAGGGTGACATGGGGCTGGGCCAGCTGCTCTGTGGGCACAAAATGAACCAACCAAGGACTGTGTGGCCTCCCTTCACAGGGCAGAAGACACGACGCATTGAGGCCAAGACTCTGCCTCCTCCTGAATATGCACAAGGAGAAACGGAGGCAGAATCTGCCCACAGCTACTGGAGAGTTTCGGGTTTCACGAGGCCTGGCCGCAGAGCAAGTTTCGGGTTTCACGAGGCCTGGCCGCAGAGCATCACTGATTCCCAGAACCACTGTGTGAAGTAGGGAGCAGAGGTCGGGCACCTACTCTGTGTAACGGGCTCAGAGAGCTTCAGGTGTAACTTGTCCAGAGTCCCGTCTATTAAATGAGGATTGTCCAGACCCAAATCCATTGGATCTGCCCCCCAAGCCTGGGTTCCCACCCTGCACTAACTACATGAAGGTCGTGTGTACACACCTCACAGAACCGTGTTGTGATTACATCTCTTCCCAGGAGGGGTCTCTTCAGGACACTTCCAGCGCCCCCGATGCCCAAGCTCCTAGAGGCCCAACGAGGCTCCCAGAAGATCTGGCCCTTGGCTTTTAAGGGCTCTCCCACCACTCCCGTGTACTCCCTTCAAACTGCACCCCACCCCTTTCCCCCAGGACCAGGAGCTCAGATGCTTCCTTAAGGTTTCCACGTTCTGGCTGTGTCCCCAGGCCAGAGCCAGTGAGTTTGACAGTAACAGGAAGAGTCGCTGAGAGAGTGGACGGGACAGGCTCAGCAGAGCCACGGGTGTGGGAGAAGGCTGCTCTGTTTCCTGCCGCCTGATGGCAGCCCCAGGGGCAGCTCAATTGGGCAAAAATAGGGCCCACCACCCAGAATGCCCCCTGGGGAGAAGGCAGGCTGGGTGACTTTGGGCTGCCTCCCCTCCGCGTGGTCCTCTGGAACCCAGATCCTTCCTCCGTGACTCCCCCTGCAGGCCCCTTTCCCCTCAGCATCCTCTCTAGCTCAAGCCCATTAACACAGGACAAACCAGACACTCAGGATGTGGCATCAGGGGGCTGAGTTCTCATTCTGGCTCTGCCACTTTCTACCTCCGGGTGACTGTTCTCTGAGACTGGTTTTGGCAGCACCGAAGAAGAACCCATCTCCGGCAGCTGCCTGCAGGGCTGTCGTGAGGTCGCAGTGACTTGGAGAGCTCCCTGAGAAGGACGAGCTGCGGGCTGTTACCTTCACTGTTTCCGCTTCGCTGGGGCCGACGAGAGGGGCTCTCCCACCAGCCCTGGACCAGCCTAGTCCCACCAAGGTCCCCAAAGCCCCGGTGTGCCCTCGAGCTGTCTGAGAACCCAGGCCTGATTTGTGGCAGAAACGCTTTCTCCCCAGGAAGCAAGTCCATTTTCTCACACTAAAGAAGTTGCCTCATCAAATAGGAGTATTTCCTAACACATGACTCAGGCTGAAAAGCTTCTCTGCCTCCCTCCATCGGCGAGCTTCCCCGTGTCTGTCCGCACTCGCACCTGCACCCTCTTGCTTCCCACTGTGGGGGAGGCGGGCGGCTCGGCCACTGCCCCTCGCGACCTCGGCCATGTCCCTCGGGCAAAGACTGGAACCACAGCTGATCTGAGTCCTAGCAAAATGCCCTGGGATCCTCCCAGAACAGGAGAAGACAGTGGCCCTGACATGCCGAAAACCCTTCCGCCAACCCCACAGTCTCCCCTGGGATGCACTCCTGAGGAAGGGGCTCCCTGCTCCGAACAGAACTGCAGACCATCCCCCAGAGCTGGTTCTCTGGCGATGGGGTGTTCCGGCCCCTGCATTGTGGCCAACCAGCACCTTTTGTCATTCTTTGTGGTATAAGGGACCCAGGTTACTCTTTCACGCTCTGTATGAGTAATAAGCGGTCTGAATGTAAAACTGGCTTCTTGTATCTTTACTGGCTGAATCAGCTCGCCCTCCTTGCTGCTGGGGCGCCTGCCCCACCTCTGGTGTCTCTGTTACAGTTTTCCCTCCTGAAACAACCCTTAAGTACCTTTAAGCAGTGTGACCCCAGCACTCCCGCACGTCTGCAGATCTAGCTCCCAGGAGTTTCCCCTCACCCGACGGACTGCTCCCACTTCAGCCTCGAGCAAGCTCAAGAAGGCTGTGGCGTGACTGAGTTCTCAGGGCTGAGGTCCCTTCTCTGCCCACTACAGACCCCGGGGGCTCTGTGGCCACAGCCTGGGCCACATCCTGGGCCTTAACGTTGTTCAGGAGATGCTCCCGGGCAACTCTACTTCACATGGTTTCTCGTGTTTTTTACAGTGAGCGTGCATTGTTAGCTTTGCAATCAGGAAAACCGTAAATGTTACTGAAACAGATGTGGGAAAGCCTGTGAGAAAGCCTGAAAGACGGGTGCCGCCCCACACCTGTGGCCGCGGGCGGGACACTCACCGTGCACTTGCAGTCGGTACTCCCGGGTGTGGGTGATGCGGGAGCCCCTCAGGTTCACGTGGGCTCGGTAGGGCCCCGCGTCGTTCCAGCTCAGGTTGCCGATCCGAAGCGAGTAGCCTGGCCCCACCACACTCACACGACCCCAGTACCGGGTGTCTGCCTGGTGGAAGGTGTCTGGCCCTCCTGCTTCTGCCAAGGTTACGGTGGCTATGGCCATGGAGGAGGAACGGGACATCCAAGAGATGCTCTCCACCGGCTGTCCAGCCTGTAGCTGCAGAGGCAGAGTGACAGACCCCCCTAGGGTCCCAGTTACCGTCACAAGGTCTGGGTCCTGTCCGGAAACCCCTGTCCCTGCAGAGACACAGATCAGAAGCTTCAAGGGCAGCCCAACTAAGCCAGAGGCTCACAACAGGCCTGAGAGAGTCAGGGAAGGGATGATTATTCCCATTTATAGATGAGACCACAGAGACCCAAAGAAATGGCGTGGCTTGCCCCAGACGACAGAGCTGGCTACGTCTGGTGACAACAGCTGGCTGCTGGTGAACAGGAGCACAAGTCAGCCCCTTCCCTTCATGGCGAAGTGGCCTTCCTCAGCATTTACAGTAACTAATTCACATGTAATAAAATAATTCATAGAGGCTGGGCTAGGGTTGCAGATGCTGAGTGGAACGGAGAGAAAGGAAATTCCTGGGAGGTGCCTGGGGGACGAGCTCTGCAGTTACCCTGAGCCACCCTCTTGCTGATCCAGGCAATCAGATCAGAACTCAGTTAGCCCAGCCCCACCGGAGCAGACACTACCCTGCAGCATCCACATCACGGCATGTTCAGTCTGTGTTGAACAGAAGCAAGCTCTGAGGCTCCACCTGGGTTCTGCGAACATCTTCCTAGAAGGAAGGCTAGTGCTGAGCTGGCCAAGCAAGTTGGAGGGGAGTCAGGGGACAGTCATTCAAGACCAAGCTACTCGGGAGAAGAACAGAAGCACCACGGCACTAGTCAGACTGCTCGAGTTCAAACCCTTGCAAGGTACTAGCTGTATGATCTTGGGAGGTGACTTATGCCTCTCTGAGTCCTGGCTTTCTCACCTGTGAAGCAGGGAGTGCCATCTTCCAGGACTTTGTGGGCTTAAATGTTATTCAAGATTCTTGATGTCACTGGAACAAGTTGGTGACTGCACCTTGTTCGCGCTCTGACCGAAACTCACCAGCACCCTCATCGAGAAATGCAAAAAACCAGTGCTCAGTCGTGTGACTGTTGGAATATTCTAGCAACACTGCCACGCTGTCCCAGGAACAGAAAATCTGAAACTGACCCAGGTGTGCAGCTCAGTGGTTTGGAGTGGCTCAGGAAGGATCTGGGTCCTGATTCAGAGTGGGACACAAGACCGCCCGCTGCATCGCTGTTCCCGGGCCAGGTGGTGAGTCACTTTGCCAAGTTGACCCAAGAAGTCCTGGGAGGGTAGGTGTGGGTCCAAGGGGTGGGAGGGGGCTGCTGTCCTGGGGGACTGGGCACCCCAAGCTGGGGGCAGGTCTGCATTCTGTGCCCCCAACCAGAGTCCACTCAACAGCCTGGCGTCCACGTCTTCTGTGGGGCTACCTTGGCTGCACCCAGAGAATCGTGCACAGTGACGGGAAGCATAGCAGGGCGGCAGGTGTGGGCATCAGCGGCACCCTCCTCGCCCCACGTGGGGCCCAGGGCCTGAAATCCGGCTGGGGGAACCCCAAGGCGACTGAGCAGTGTGGCTCCTCCTCCCACCCTCAGACGCAGTAACGCATCAGGCCTCATTCAAGGGCTCCTCCAGGGTTGGGCTCCATACTTCCAGTCCAGTCCTGCCCACCCTGGTTTCCTTTAGCCTCTGCGCTTTTGTTGGCTTATTTGGGTTTAAGCATTTACTTCACCCGGATTCGTACAGATGCTGTATGCATGTCTTTCCGCATAGTTCACAAGCTCTCCAAGGAGAGAGATGGATGGGAATGAGTATCTGGGTGCGTTAGCCTCAGGGTTTGCTGCCGTGCGGGTGTGTGGAAACTCTTGGTCTGAATCCTGTTTCTGGATCCAAGTGAGGGGAGACACAGAGGGATCAGATCAGGACATGAATCCCAATGCCAGACACCGTGCCCGGTAGGGTAAACACGTTCTCTTATCTGACGTCCCAAGAAAATTGTAAGGTGGGGGCTCTTCTTCCCATTTGAAAGATTAACATCTTGACACACAAAGAGCTTAAGACTCTTGCCCCCAGTCCCCAGCTCAGAAGCAGCAGAGTCTGCATGAAGATCCAAGTTCACCCGACCCCAAAGACGGTGCTCCGTCAACCATGCTGTGTGGCCAGCAATGGGCTCTCATCGTACCTAATCCCTCCCAGGGACCTGCTGACCCCCATTCCCACTCCACATCCAGCACAGGACCTGACACACAAGAGCCCCAATGGATGTTTCCAGAACTGAACTGAACTGTGAACATTTTTTAAGGCAGGACTTGTCTTACCCATTATTTGGCCATGTGCCCCGGGGATGCCCCTGTGGGCGGGGACCATAGAGCACCTGGCCTGGACGCCAAGCAGATGAGCTTGCTCTGTGTGGGGATAGGAAAGTGGGGATGAGGGGGACCTCGCAGGAATCTCCACGCCAGTTCCGCCACCGTGGCCGAGGACACTGCTCTCCGAGTTTCCACGGCACCACTGTATTCCCACAGCTGGCAGTGCTGCCTTCTAGACTGTGCACCAGAAGACGTCCCCTAATCTCCCTGAGCCTCCGTCTGTCCTCATAAAATATGTGTAATCCAGTGTGCCTTATCTATATCACAAATCTGTTGTGGGAATCAGAGTTATTGTTGTTGTCGTTGTTGTTGTTTAACTTAGGTAAATGTTCTGGGCGCCTGGGTGCCTCAGTGGCTTAAGCCTCTGCCTTCGGCTCAGGTCATGATCTCAGGGTCCTGGGATCGAGTCCCGCATCGGGCCCTCTGCTTAGCAGGGAGCCTGCTTCCTCCTCTCTCTCTGCCTGCCTCTCTGCCTGCTTGTGATCGCTGTCTGTCAAATAAATAAATAAAAAATCTTTAAAAAAAAAAAAAAAACTTAGGTAAATGTTCTTTATAAACTGTGATAGGTGACAAGGGCAGGCCACCCAAGATGGGCCACTGGGGCCTACTGATTAAATAAGTGGCTTAGGAACCAGTCCACACAAGGACACTCAGACCCTCCGCTGCTCCCTGAAAGCAGGAAACAGATCTCCCGTGTGAAAGGCAGCCTGCCTGGACCAGGAGGTAAGGAGAAGCCTGATCACCAGGGGTGGGAAAGTTAGAGCCAAGAACGCTTACAAACAACCTGGTTACTTTTTTACTAATTCACTCCCCCAGCCCAAAGTCTGTTCAGAATTCCTTACTAATCGAAGTGCCCAGAGTTAAGTTTTCTTTGTCCTGTCAATTCCTCACAGATTTATTGTCTCTTTATCTAAAAAGTACAAAAACTGCCTCTTCAATCATTTCTTTTAGGAATCAATTTCATTATTGGGCCCCCATGCACATGTCATAAAACCTTGGGTTTTTTTCTCCTGTTAATCTGTCTCACATAAATTTAGTTCTTAGTTCAGGTAGGAGATCTCAAGGGTAAAGAAAAATTTTTCCTTCCCTTCACTGCCAAGTTTTAAATGTATCAAGGGATTCACCAGCAGGCTTACAGGAGAACCCCCTAAAGAGTAGGGTGGGGACTACCCCAAGGCGGGTGACATTCGTAATGACACACACTGGTTTTCCCCGATGAAGAATGAAAGCAAAAGCAAGACCAGAGCCTAGCCCCTCACGCAGACTTCTCAAACGCTTTGTTCCCCAACTCTGGTTCCCAAGCCTATTTCTTGCCACCGCTCAGGTCCTCAGGGACAGGAGCAAGCAGTAAGAATCTAAAGGGACAGAAACAGCCGCTAAGTGCCAGGCTGAGATCCCCTCCTGAAGTCATTTATGGGACACAGTAAGCCCAATTCATGATGAAGGGTCTCTCCCGGGGGCTGGTGGGAGAGGGAGGAGAGGCAAAGAGACGTAAAAGGATAATGACTGAAATGGCAAGATGAAGATAGTGCAGGTCCTCGATCTCATGCCCCCACCATCCACCTGTGTGGGGATGCCCAGGGCTCCCTGTGACTCATTAGCAGAGGAAATGTGAGCATGACAAGGACACAGCGTGGGCCCGCACGGTCTGAAATGGTAGCACGTGCAACACACACACACACACACACACACACACACACAGCCTGGCTCCCAGAGAGGCAGCACCTTCAGTGAAACTCACCCTTGGCAAGAGAAATGTGCAGCAGGTAGAGGTGCCTGGGAGGCAATGGCAGGGACAGACTTACCTGTGAAAAGACCAAGCAAGAGGAGGAATCCTGGTAGAGAAAGACCCATAGTAGTCACCAGCAGAATGGCCTGCCTCAGGACAGCTGACCAGCTGTGAATGTATAACTGTCAGCCCACAAATATTTCCTCTTTCTAGAGTTTACCGCAGTAATTGCATGTAGCTTTGAAGTCACAGGATGTAGACATGAGGCGATATATGAGAAAGGCCAGGGGAGCTACGACTTAAAAGTCAAAGCTGACAATGTCTCAGCCGTGCTTTAAAGCCTTCAGAAGCTCCCCCATCCCCTACAAGGTGAAGTCAGACTCACAGCCCCGGGAGAAGAGGCTTTTCCTGTTCTCTTGCTTCTAGTCAAGCTTGACCTAATGCCATGTCACCACATCTCCCATCTTGGGCTCCAGTCACCACAGACTGTTTCTAGAGTCTCCCCCAAAACCCCTTAGGATTTCTCAGCCCTGTACATTGGCTCCCGCAAATCTGCTTCCTGGGTCACCCTAGTCTCTGCCCCTGCCTCACCCACCGCACCCTAGGCTTCCTTTCCCATCCTTCAATTCCCAGTGGTTAGCTCAGTGTCGGCGCATAGCAGGGGCTTCTCACCTACATGGTTGCTGAGCACATGGGCAGATACTGAGTCACCAGGCAGAGAAGAGCAGGCCCGGAATGGCTCAGAGCTGGGAGCACTGGAGTGGATATGACACTTCCTGATTTGAATCATGCCTCTGCTGCTTAGTTATGATGTTAGCAACTACTTCCCAGGCAATAAGACTTCCCCATTATCATTTATTTCCTTGAAGATGGTTTTTGTGCATAAAAAAAATTATCCATAGCTATTTTTTCTTTAAGACTTCATACTCAAGCTACCCTACAACCCAGCAATCGCACTACTCAGTATTTACCCTAAAGATGCAAATGTAGGGATCCAAAGGGGCACGTGCACCCAAATGTTCATAGCAGCGATGTCCACAGTAGCTAAACTATGGAAAGAACCTAGATGTCCATCAATAGATGAATGGATAAAGAAGATGTGGTGTATATACACAATGGAATACTATGCAGACATCAAAAGAAACGAAATCTTGCCATTTGCAATGATGTGGATGGAACTAGAGGGTATCATGCTTAGTGAAATAAGTCAATCAGAGAAAGACAGTTATCATATGATCTCCCTGATATGAGGAAATGGAGATGTAATGTGGGGGGTTCGGGGGGAGGAAAAGAATAAATGAAACAAAATGGGATTGGGAGGGAGACAAACCATAAGAGACTCTTAATCTCACAAAACAAACTGAGGGTTGCCGGGGGAAGGAGGGGGGTCGGGAGAGGGGGGTGGGGTTATGGACATTGGGGAGGGTATGTGCTATGGTGAGTGCTGTGAAGTGTGTAAATCTGGTGATTCACAGACCTGTACCCCTGGGGATAAAAATACATTATATGTTAATTTAAAAATTTTTTTAAAAGACTTCATACTCAATTTACCAAAAAAATACAAACAAACAAATTTATAACCTTGGCCAGCCTTAAGTGCAGTTCAGCTTATGAATCACATTCCATATACAACTCTGGCTGCATTTAACCTCCTTTGGGTGACTATTGATCGTATTTGACTCACTTTACAAGTTTATGAATTGATTTCTTTAAGGACTTTAAATCTCACTATTGAATGTAATGTACTTAGTTTCCTTTTAAAGTACTTTCTTTTTTTCAGAGTTGAAAACAGATTTTATGCTATAGTTCTTCTGCTTGTTCTTCTTTTAATATATAAGATATAAATATATTTTTAATACTACTATTTTTACTCCCAGAGAGTTAACACACAGGAGAGTTATGTCAGTTTCAGGTACACAATATAGGCATTCAGCGCTTCCACGCATCTCCTGGCTCATCCCCAACACCTCTTTCCCCCATCCCCCAACCACCTTGGATAAAGTATTTGAATCAATAAATAAGATTCCCCCAAATATTTAAAAAAGGCTTATAAATCTAGTACACCAAACTTATAAGTAGGGTAATTCTCTCTCTTTTTTTTTTTTTTTTTGGATTGTATTTATTTATTTGACAGAGAGAGAGCGAGCAAACACATAAGCAGGGGGAGCAGCAGAGGAGAGGGAGAAACAGGCTCTCCGCTGAGCAGGGAGCCCGACACAGGGCTCCATCCCAGGACCCCAGGATCATGAGGCAGATGCTTAACCAACTGAGCTACCCAGGCACCCCATAAATAGGGTAATTCTTAAGTAGTCTTCAAATATTCAGTATTTGACACAGACCTAGGTTCACCTGCAATAGCGTTGCGTGGTTACAGATGGCCACTGCACGTGTAGTGAGCATAACGTACAGATGTGTCCAGTCATGATGGCGTACCCCCGAAACTCATGTAACGTTGTCTGCTAACTGTACTTCAACAGAAATTTATCAATTAAAATAAAATAAAATCACAAATGCAAATCAATTACTCAAATACATAGTTCAAATTGGAACCACAAATGATTACTTTAATAAGCTGGATGTCTCAAATAATATATATATGTAAACAAAAAGTACTAACTGATACCTTGAACATGCCTAATCTGAATTCCTTATCTTTCCAGCACTGAAAGATTCATAAAGGACACAGTTATGTCATCTCCACTCCTGCTGTTTTTGCCTCATCAACAAAGGTTGCTTAAACACCGGAAACATTACTGAGATTTCAACTGTTGGTACCTAGCCAGGTCCCTTTGTTTATGTCCTCTAAAAGGCTGGTCTCAGGTGCCTGGGTGGCTCACTTGGTTAAGCATCTGACCCTTGGTTTCGGCTCAGGTCATCATCTCATGGTTGTGGGATGGAGCCCTGTATCAGGCTGTGCATTCAGCAGGGAGTCTGCTTGAAGATTCTCTCCCTCTGCCCTCCCCCACTCCCAGAGAGAAAGAGAGAGAGAGAGAGAGAGTGTGTGTGTGTGTGTGTGTGTGTGTGTGTATGCACGCACATAAACACCCATGCTCTCTCTCTCTCCCTCTCTCAAATAAATAAATAAATAAATCTGGGGAAAAAAAAAGGAAGAAGAAGAAGAAGTCTCGTCTCATAGCCTGTGTCCCTCAATTCAACTTGCCACACTGTGATAACACCTAATTCTTTCTTCGCTTTACTCTAACTGTAGCCCTTGATTTGATGTTATATTTCTTTCAGCTCTTAAGATATTTAACTATCTTTCCATTGAGGTGTAAGAAGTTTTAAACTTGTTGAAATTCTGTATTCCTTTCATATTGTTCCAATCTGCAGGAGAATAAACATGTAAAAACCCCCACATGATACTAAAAGTGAAGTAAAAACAATACAGTTGTGTAAAAGGCAGGGTCATCTTAATTGCAAATTTAATGAAGGGCCTGTTAGGAACTAGTGGTGACCGTAAGCAGCAGAACTTGGGACAGTGGCTGCAGAATCCAAATCACAGCCCAGGCTGAGATTTGATGATAACGGGGGGCAATGCCCAGTAGATGGGTGATTCTGGCACCTGTGCCTGTGCCTGGCTGGGTTCCTGGGACAGCAGAAGGAATTCCAGAAATTTCCAGTTATTTGCTCACATTTACTGACCTGGACCAAGGACACGGAGAAGCTGAAAATAACCAACTCCACTTGCCTCCTCCCTGAATCCCAGCACAAGATGTCTGCGTCCACAGCTCACTGAGAATATTAGCCCTCGCTGTGTGAAGTTGGGGACTGGGTGAGCCCAGGACACATTTGCCAACTGCATTATATCAAAATTCATATTCTTTTAGGTTTTTACTTACTTAAATGCTTATACTTCAATTCTACATATCACAGACTGCCCATCCCGGTTCACCACTACCATGGTTATTCGAGGGACGTATACCTTCAGTTTCTTCGTCTCTAAAATGAGGATAGCAAGAGTACCAACCAAATAAGGTTGGCTTGAGGATTAGAAGAAAATTTACATAAAGCACAAAGCATCACTCATAGTCATTACTCAATAAATGTTAGCAATGGTTTTTATTATCATCGGTGTCCTCGAACCACCTCCCACTCAGAGTGTGGCAGCTCTCATGCTCTTACCTGGGCTCCTTAACAACTCCCTACTTGTCCTCTTATCACAGTCCCATTCCTTCTATCCCCTCCCCACTGCTGCTGGAGCAAGCTTCCAAACGGGTCCTTGAATAACACTGCACCCCTGTTTAAAAACACCTGCTAGGGGTGCCTGAGTGGTTCAGTGGGTTAAAGCCCCTGCCTTCAGCTCAGGTCATGATCCCAGGGTCCTCGGATCAAGCCCCATGTCGGGCTCTTTGCTCAGTGGGGAGACTGCTTCTTCTTCTCTCTCTGCCTGCCTCTCTGCCTACTTGTGATCTCTCTATCTCTGTGTCAAATAAATAAATAAAATCTTAAAAAAAAAAACCAACAAAACACCTGCTAGATGGGGGATGGGCACTAAGGCGGGCCCATGAGACAATGAGCACTCTGTGTTATATGCAACTGATAAAATACGGAACACTACATCGGAAACTAATGATAGCTAATTGAATATGTTGGCTAGTTGAATTTTAATTAAAAAGAAAAAACTGCCTACCAGATGCTCTCTGCCTCTAGTCTCTTGGTGAGTTTGTGCTACCCTAATAGCAGTGCCAGAGACGGGGCTTACAAACAGCAGAGCTTGACTTCTGACAGTTCTGACGGAGGCGGGGAGGTCGAGGGATGGAGGCACCAGTAATTCAGCTTCCGGAGAGGCCCCACCTCCGGCGTCAGAGACGGTGTCTTCGCACTCTCCCCTCACGTGGCAGGAGGGGCGAGGGAGCGCTCTGGGGTCGCTGGCATGCAGACACTAATTCTGTACATGAGGGCTCAACGCTCACGACCTAATCACCTCTCAAAAGCCCCGCCTCCTAATGCCACCCCTTTGGAAATAAGACTTCAACATATGAATTTGGGTGAGGGGGGACGGGACACAAACTTTGAGTGCGTGGTTTCGGGTTATAAGAGCCTTTATCTGGGCTCCAGAGACCGCTCCTGGCCATGTGTCCTGCAATTCTCTCTAGACAGCCACACTCCAGCCCCAGGGCCAGGA